CCGATACTGTTATAGTATTGATACTTTATTTTCAAAAGAAGCAATTAATTTAGGGTGAAAAAAAAATATTTTGAATTTGTTTTATGACTAATTTTATTTAAAAACATGTTATGTAAGCATAATTGCATTATCGTCTAAATTTAATACAGCACAACCCACACTTTCAGAAATAGTTATACCACCTGTGTCATCAACATATCCTTGTGCAGTATCATCATCGTCAGTCATTTCTGCTTTTGTCTCATGACATTTTACAGGACTAGGTTCTAGACCTGAGAAATATTAAAAAATAATTTAAATATAAAAAACAATAAAATATTGCAAATGGTTTACCATTTTGAACTTGTGTTTCATGAGCAGATACATGGTCATTGTATCTTTTTAAGCTCACAGTTCCAAATGGGCACCGATTACATGAGTAATATGAACTGTCCATTTTTTCCCGATGATTATTCGTTATATGACTTTTGAGAGCAGTTACTTGGATACATTTGTAATCACAATGAGTACATTTGTACGGCCTTTCCTCTGAGTGGCGGAGTTTATGACGTCTAAGTGAGTTATGATCCCCTATACATTATACCAAATAATAGGTATTTTGTTTCATGAGATAATTTTGTTTATTACCAGTTTTAAAATTACAATCTGGAGCATCACAACTAAATGGTTTTTCACCAGTATGCTGCCTCATATGCACTTGCATCATGTATTTAGTTGCTGAACCATGATTGCAAACTTGACACACGTAAGGCTTTAACTTCAGATGAACATTTTTTGTATGAAGTTTTAAACTTTTTGAGTTAGCTAACACCATATTACAAATTACACATGTTTTTTCCATATACCTATGGGAGTATTCTTAAAGTCAAATAATCTAAGTACATAAAAACCAAAATAGTATATAATTACCATCTTTCTTTATTTACAGACTTAGCTTTTGAATGAAATACTCTGTGATTCTGTAGCTTAATTGAATCCTCAAATTCAGCACCACAGTCTACACAAGACAATGCCTTATTGTGTTTCATGGATACATGATTAACTAAGTTATGATAAGTTGTAGTGGTATATTTTTTACAAACCTATTAAAAAGAAAATATTTGTGAAAGTGTGYTTTTACTATAGTAATTAATATAGACCCAAATCTATAATTTAACATTATTAAAAATGCAATTTTGAAATGTAATACTATATTGACTAGATAGGAGAAAAACTCATATGACGTGTATTAGATTAATTTATGTGACACCCATTAGGCATATAGACCAAGACACAAGAGTTATTCGGGAACAATTTGGGAGGTACCATACTTAAGATGAAACATTGTTTTATTAATCAGTGACAGTGTCGGCCTGGCCATGGCCGCGAATGCATCYGGGGCCTCCGGCCRTATTTGTGTCGAGGGGCCCTGATATTACTAAAAATATAATATTTCACTACTTATAAGCATTTTTTATCATTTTTATTTAATAACATGTTTGGGGGCCCTTCTGAAGAAATGCATCCGGGGCCCTTTAAGTACCAGGCCGACACTGATCAGTGACAGTCAAATGATTTTGTTAAGGGAGAGAAGGATATTGCTGATTTTTTTTAATAGGCACCATTTTATTATTAAAAATATAATTTATGGTAATTAGCTTATTGGAAAAAAAAGGTCGAGTGGAATCTATCCCCCTCACACAGTAAATTAAAATAACATACTGTTAGTTAACAGGATAATAGAACGATATAATCGATCAATGATCTTTGGAAAATATGAAAATAAACTACTGATCACCAATTTCCAAGATCAGAATTTTTTTGAATTTTTATGGAACAGAGAAATCATTTCTTGTAGGAAAGTGAATATAGATGATACATCAGGTGGAGGAGGAGGTTTAAAAACTAAAAATCYACAGTATTATTTAAAAGCATAGAGAAAAATAAAAATAACAAATTAAAGGAATGTACAGTATRGGGAAATATTGTTTGAAATATTTTAATATCTAAATAAACATACTTGACAGCTAAACATATCAACATCAATTTTATGAACTTTCCATAAATGTATGCGACAAGTATTCCATCTTGGCGTAATAAAATCACAATTTTTTTCACTACATTTATAATCTTTACTATCATTTTGGTGACACAATGAATGAAGTACTTTAGAATTTTCAGATCGAAATTTACGTTTACAATGTACACACCTAAAACAGTATTCATTTGTATTTTTTTCAGATAAGCAAAATTTTATTTTAACTTACTTCGAAACATACTCTATATCTTCAATTTTTTTTTTACTTRATTGAATACTTTTACAATCATTTTTTTGTTGTTTATTTAGATTATTTTTAGGAGTATTTATTAAATGCTGAAATCAATTTWAAAAAAGATAATCATGAATCAAATTACTAAAWTTATTTCTTTAAATAACATATTCTAGGATACCTATCTAGCAAACTTGAAATAAAAGTTATAAATAATTTAATAATTGTTAAAATTAAACATAAAATATAAGATATACAATTTCTAAAAATGTAGAAGAAAGATTGAAATGTTAAGACAAAATAAGAATGTAATAGGAAATATATTTATTTTTTTTTAAATTACCTGACTCATATGTTCTTTACATTCACCCAGTGTATTAAAAGTCATTTTACATAATGTACATGAATATACTTCAATTGTTCTTGTTGTATTTGATGTATCATTATTAACTTCAGTTTCTAGTTGTTTTCTAGTCTATAAAAAACAATTAATTTGATTTATAGAAAGCATTAATTATAATATTATTATACATATTAATTAATTTACTTCATGTTTTTCTCTAAGATGCACAATTAAATTTTGTTTTCGAAATGTTAAGTATTCACAATGCAAACATTTGAAACGAATTCTTCCTTTTTTTTTTTGATTTTTTTTTAAGATTGGTAATTTCTTTYCTGGTGTATAATCAGAGTGTAACTTCACATTGGAATCAATATTTATTGTGTTACTATCATTATTTTGATTTACATTTTCTGGAACTACTGTACCTGTTTAAAACATACAAGCATTATAAAATGCTTAAAAATTCAAAACAATAATAATAATTAACATTCTTAAACTTAAAGTTTGTTGATTAAATAAAAATATACATATCATAAATATATAATATTATACTATAGGTAGCATTCTGTACAATAATTAATAACTATGGTCCAAATTTTTGTGCGAAGACTATATATCTCAACATTAACAATTTATTATTTGCAAAATATTATGTTTCTGCACAAAAAATACTTAGACAA